CAAATATTTTTTACCAAGTGCAACTTTATAAAAAAAGAAAAGTGTGTGCAAAGTCCAAACTTTTATGGTTTGTCGCCATAGACTGTATACATTGACGGACGTAGTCACGCCTATCTCCGCCTATCTCCGCCGTTCTATCTATTGGGCCAAAAATCGGGCTTTCATGGAGTGATTCAAAATGGCCACGGGGCTGGAAAATGTGAAAAAACGCATCTGCACATGCGTCAGCCGCCACGAGCCCCATTCATTTAAACGGGTGACTTCAAAAATTGACAGAGAGTAAACTAGACTGGTCCAAAAAAAATCACTCCCTTCAGCATTGACACACATGTGGAACGGAGCTTTGGGCCAAGAGCCAACTTTTGGTCCATCCTGTAAAGACGTTTTCGAGAGGTCTGCCAATGCTATATGTTAGCATTGGCTAATTCTTATTCCACCCCCATCGGCCCGGGGTGGTATTGCAAGCATGTCAGCGCACGTCATTTTGGCCACTTTTGAGCCGGGACCAACCCCCCTGTTTGTTGCCCAGTGTGTAAGGAAAGGGAACTCCAAAGTTGTTGCACAGTGGGAATAAGGCTAATCAAATAAAATATATCTAAATATTTATATCAAATGCGAAAAAAATAGCTTCATTGTAAATAAATAAAAAACAATGCCCATTAACCCGCCAACTCAACAGACCCACCCTCAAAAACACACAGACAACAGTATACAAACACGCACATTCACACACAGGAACACAGAAGAAAATGGTTTACAACGACACAACCGGCAGAGGAAGAGCCATCCGAGGAGTCGTCTGCAACACCGTATGTGTTTTATAAAACTAAAATCCCTGGTCATAAGCGGTTACTCCTTTCCCACTTTAACGAACACTCACATGATATACAGTATACACTCAAGATCAGCACATGGTACATTTTATTCTGCTTCAGGAGTGCAGAAAAGTACAGTCATATACTACCTATATATGACTGTACTACCTCCTCCTGCTCTCCTCAAGGTCAGACGTGTCTCTTGCCTGCTCCTGCTCTGCTTGCCCTGACTGTCTTTTTTCCTAGAGTTCTGCCTGTGTACAACTTGAAAAATGATGGAATTAATCAACTGGTCCCTCAACGCAATTGATACTATTTTTTCATCACGTAAAGGCGGTTCTGGAGATGCCGTTTGCCCGGATGGTACGGCGGCTGCTGGGTACGTTTTTGACAACTGGCAAAAGTGGCACCCCGTTTGTCTGTCGGGACTGTCCATCGAGGACATTGAGGATATATACATTTTTGGATTTATGGTAGCAGGGTTCCTCCTGATTGGATTTGGAGTTGGCTTGATCTACCGCAAAGTTGGAGGGCTGTCCACTCAGAAGATTTACGAGCGGCTGTCCGCGGAAAACAAGGAGAGTTTCTGCGAGTTGGTCAGAGTCGTGGTCGAGGGCACAGTGGGGACACAACGGGGGGTGAGTCGGATCGAACATTCCCTTAACGACCTGGGAGTGAGATCTTTGGATGGACTTAAACGCGTGGAAGGATTGATTGAAGGACTTGGGCCTCACGGTGGAACCTCGTACTGACGTGGTCAACTCCGGATAACGGTGAACGAAGGGTCCAGTTCCAGTATAATTTGGACATATTGGCTTTAGTGTACACTGCCTTTCATTGATCAGCTAAAGTGCTTCTACAAATTTCCCACAAGGGCATGTGTTGTTTTGACTCCAATGTTTGCAGGCACCTGCGCTATCTTTGTCCTTCACATTCCACCACCGCACCGGCCACTCAAGGCCGACACTGGACTCTATCTAACTCAGACTCACAACCCAGAACACCAGTTACAGTCCCCCCCCCCCCTTTCTACATGTCTGCCTCCCTCTCTTTTCAGTCTATGGTGGTCTTCCCCTCCACCTCCCCCACCCACACTCCCCTCTGATGGGCTTTATTGGACGAGGCGGGCCAGAGTGATGACTTCCCATTAAAAAGATCCGCATGTTTTCCACATGTACCGTGTCTCTCCCCATGTTTGTTGAAATATGTGTCTGCTTTGCTCTCTGCTGTTGAATAACTGTCATAAGGAGCGCGGAAAATTAGAGTATGCGGCCGGCCTTGATGTTTATTCATCGAACTGAATTTCTCCATCTGTGTGAGATAATAAAGGATTGATTGATTGATTGATTACCTACACATATAATACACACACACATACTACCTACACATATACTACCTACACACACATACTACCTACACATATACTACCTACACACACATACTACCTACACATATACTACCTACACACACATACTACCTACACATATACTACCTACACACACATACTACCTACACATATACTACCTACACACACATACTACCTACACATATACTACCGACACACACACACATACTACCTACACATATAATACCTACACACACACATACTACCTACACACACACATACTACCTACACATATACTATCTACACACACCTACTACCTATACATATACTACCTACACACACACACATTCTACCTACACACACACATACTACCTACTATCTACACACACACATACTACCTACTATCTACACACACACATACGATCTACTACCTACACACACACATACGATCTACTACCTACACACACACATACTATCTACTACCTACACATATACTACCTACACACACACACATACCTACACATATACTACCTACACACACACACATACTTACACATATACTACCTACACACACACTTACTACCTATACATATACTACCGACACACACACATACTACCTATACATATACTACCTACATATACTACCTACACATTATTATTATGATTTAAATGGGTAAAAACTATTTGATCTTTGTGAAAAATTGAATACTGAACAGAATATTGTGGATCCTTCTTACTTTTCCCCCGCTTCATTAGTTTGGTCAAAAGTAGAACTATGCACCTCATGTCACTTACATCCAATATTTATTCTGTCTTGTCTTGAGGGAATTTTGTCTCATTCCGCTCATTTCTGCCCAGAGAATAAGTATGGATTCCTCTGTTCTTTACATGTGTTAACACTTTCATTGTTTATCCACAAATGTGCCTCAAACCATCGCTGCCTCGCGTCTCGTCAAGGTCGAGCTGTTGGAGATAAGGAGATCTGCTCCGATAGTCACTGCAAGATAAGAAATATACATTTTATAATCAAGTATTGATTTTGTCCTATCTTGGTTTAAGTGGCTCTCGGTAAATTGACTTTTCAGAAAAAGTGTCATATTTAAAGATTGTGGCTTCAGATCGTCGTGAGAATGGTCTGAGCAAACAGGAAGTGATGAATGAACACAGCCACGTCGTGAAGGATTTACAGAATCAGGAGAAAAAGGTGATTGTTACTGCATCGGTCTCTCTCTCTCTCTCTCTCTCTCTCTCTCTCTCTCTCTCTCTCTCTCTCTCTCTCTCTCTCTCTCTCTCTCTCTCTCTCTCTCTCTCTCTCTCTCTCTCTCTCTCTCTCTCTCTCTCTCTCTCTCTCTCTCTCTCTCTCTCTCTCTCTCTCTCTCTCTCTACAAAATGTTATATGTGTCCCCAGACAGTAGGCCAACGTGTAAAAATCATATTGAACTTCACTGATAATTGCAATTAAAGGATTTTTTGTACAGCACTAAAACACATAAGAAGTTATCTAAGAGGACTTTTCAAATGCAATCACAAAACACAGATGACTGATATCCCATTAAGGTTGATAGAAAAAACAGTTTTTAATTTTCAAAGATTTCATCAATATTTGTGTTGGCATTTTTCAAGCAGATTAACCAATCAGAGAGCAGAATGAGTCTCTGGGTTGTCAGCTTGATTTTTCGCTGGCCTTTGCTCCAGCCTTTTTATTAACAAAATCCACGAACAAAAAATAGAACCACAACTATGTTTTAATCAAATCAGAGTTTGTACCATTTCTGCCAGAGCCCCAGCAGGTGGTTTGCACCTGTAGTCAGTGCTCATGGGATACATGTGTCTGGCGCTACAATGAGAAATACAATTCTCACCAAAGAAAGCAAGTAAACACAGTGGGCGTGCGGTGATATATAAATAATGTATGACTCAAACATGCATGAATCACTCTTTGGTAACTTAACTTAAGTAATTTTTATTTAAATAGAGCATTTATGGAGCAAGGTCACAGAAAAAAAGTGATTTACATTATCACTCCTTAGTCACATTCATATTGTACATAATTTAGTGGTAGAGCACGAGAAACCTATGCAGACACGGGAAGAACATGCAAACTTCAAGCTATGTGTGACTTTGGATTTGAAACCAGGACCTTCACTGGAATAAGTGACAACAAATGATTCAAATATTGCTTGAATTAGGACAAATGTATCATAATTTTTTAGTCAAATTTGAAAAAAAAGAACTTTGGAATAAGAAAGAAATTCCACCAGCACTTGAAACTGCTTCTATTTTTGAGCATTTTTATTACTGAAACCTGTTGTGTCTGGTCAATTTGATTCACCAATCATCACTTATCACAGAAACACAGATAAAATTCTATCCCTTTTTACAATACATTTTTACAAAACATTTTCAGCTCAAACTCCTGCTTGTCTAATATATCATGGACTTTTACTTTAATTTACCGTTCACATTTTACTCATAATTTTGATGAACTGGTTTTTTTCTGTGTATTGCCACAAATGACAAGGTTTTTGTTATGTTGACAAATTTTGATTTTAGTTTTAAGATTCTTCCACCACAGACGTTGACTTTTGTTACATTAGCAAACACATGACAGGTCAGGATAAGTGCTAGTTTTAAGTCTGTTAGCTGGCCTGCTGATGCTCTGGCTTTGGGACAGCTTCAGGACCACCAGGAAGTCCTCCCAGAAGCTTGTTTAGGATGTCGCTAAGTCCCGGTGTCACATCTAAACGCTGGAGCAGTGACGGCCTCTTCGCGATACGTCTGCGGCCTCCATAAATCTAGCGTTGTGCACATAGACACACGCAGAGCTGTCCCACGCTGAGATGGATCTGGCCCCAGTGTCCCAGGACGCCCGTTATCCGACCGATGATGGCTCCGTGAAAGTGGGACGGGAGGCCAGCAGGAGCCTCTTATCACGGATGGACAGATCAATCATGAGCGGGAAAGAAAGGGAAAAGGGAACAGGCAAGGAGGAGCGCCGCTGCTTTGGCCTCATTTCCATCGAAAGGTGTAAGCACTTTACAAGGACAGGACAATGACTGATACTACAGCACACCAGTATATTTAAAGCTGTGCCTCACTTTTTCATAAATAAAATAATGTGTTTTGTTTGCCCTAACAGGAGGAGGCTTTGAAACCACAACATAATGTCTTCATGGTATTAGAAAACTGCATAAGTTCTCTTAATAACGTCAAGTGTGCAAGAACCACATCAACCTCTCTTCTTAATGCAAAAGAAAGCAATCAGAAGAATCAATTGTGCAGACTATTAATCATCATCAAAACCATTATTTATAAAAATCCAATACCCTAAAATTACAGGATTTAGTTGTCATGTACAATGTTCACACTAAGAAGGTCCCGAAATGAATCCAGGAAAGGTTCAAAACCAGAGAAACCCATTATAATCTTAGGAACTGACATTTACCAAAAAGCCACTGCCAAGACCAAAGTGTAGATGTGTCTCAGTGAGAGGAGTTTCTGTCTGGAATGGTCTGGATGACTCACTGGAGAAATCGTATTCAAATGTCATGTTATGATGAAATATAGACAATTAGAACACAGAAATACTATTATTGTTATTATTATTATTTCTATTTTTTTGTTTATGTAAAAACATAAATGTGTTACTAAGTATAAACTACTACTACTACAACTAATACTATGATTACTACTACATGTGTCCACTTTACTTTGTCCCAGAGCCTCATGCTGCTAACATGTACAGATGTAACATACGTAAGAGATAATGTACGCAGGTCATTATCGGAAAATAAGTACCGACAGGGCCAAGCGCGAAGGGGTCCGCTTCGCCCTGAATACATTTTCCCACATATTATACGGCTTTGTACCATCAGAAGACACAAAATAAACTTCATTCCACTCTCAGGAATGCCGAAAGGTTAATTTAATGACAGAAAATAAAATAGTTCCCAAAGGCTTTCCCGTGGCTATATAAACTAGAACTCTCTGGAACTGCATGAAAACTAAACAAAGAATTCTGAACATCAGCGGTGAGTGACCCAAACATAAACTTAAGATAAGATGTACTTTATTAATCTCACACAGGAGAAATTTACACAGAAGAAATGTAACCTAAATCCATAATTTGATCCTCTGCAAATGTTCTTAAAATGTCCCGGAAACTACTTCCGGGTTTTTCGCAATCGCTTTTGCTCTCATGACAGTGTTTTTGTCATGAAAACCTTAACGGATACTTCTGAAAACCTGCACGTTAAGAATGTATATGTATAATGTATTCTCCGATTAACATTTAAATGTGTTGATTGATTGGTATTTGCGTTTATTGAGCGTGGTTAGCTCCGATAGCTTCTCTCGCAGAGACAGTAGTAGCGACGAAGTGGCCGGAACTACTTGCGGAGTAATCTACACATCTGAATTCCAAGCAGAGGGTGCGTTGCCAAAGGGCAGCGGTCATTATTGTTTTGAGAGGTCTGTTATCAAGAAATAATGACCGGTAGAACGTTTTGAAATGACATTCAAATCAATGAAGCGTTCTCCTGCTGCGGTGAGGAGCCGTGTGATAAAACTTATATTTCTTGCACTAGAATATATAGTGTTTGTACTTGCTTCTTTAATGTGCTAAAGTTGGAAACATTTTGCTTAATTCTCGCTTCTTTGTTATGTTAAAGTTGGAGATTTTTGATTTGCTTTCTTATTATGCTAAAGCTAGAGATTTTATAATAAATAAAATAATATGATGAAGTCAGTTAGTTATGCTTGACTTATCTTGTGCTGTCTGTTCCTCATTCCTGGTGATGCAACACTGACATGTCCCCACTGTTGGAGGAATAAAGGATCTATTCATCTTTCTCTTATGTTAATATTTTAGCCTATTTTGAGCCATGTGAGTCACTTTTTAATGCTGATTAGCTGGGTGAGGGTGGTCCTTCTCAAGATGTGACAGAGGCCAAAAATACAAGAATGTCAAAACTAATGACAGAACCAAACTGTTCTGAGAGCAAGGAACTAATTGGATGTTATTAGTTCTACTTTTTGTTGCTTGAAAGTTAGTTGTTAATATTGAATTTAAAGGCGCTATACCCGTTTCTGCAATGTTTGAATGTTTAGCACCGCCCCCTAACTCGCTCAATGGCTTCTCTTTTCCCCTACGCTCTCATCCCACGGAGCCACCTAGATTTATTTGCGATCTGATACGTATGCTAACATTAGCATTAGCGCAACTTCTTGTAAGCTGTACAACAATCACTGATTAAATGGTGATTAAGCAGCGTTGTAGAGGCTAGAGGACGCAGGCTGGTCGCTGCTCGTTCTGTGAGTGGAGCATCCCGCTAAGACTCTACTCAGCACTTTTCACTGCTTGTAATTCTAACACAGCTGAATCAATGACCTCAAGTTTTCAATTAAATGATGTATTATGATACAACTTGTATGTAGTAAAAAGCATTTTTATGAACTACTTAGAAAAAAAAATCGGGTATAGCTTTTTTAATTGGCAATATCCTGTGAGTCACTAGTTGAAGCTGATTGACTGAGTCCTCTCTTTTTCAATGTCTGTCTTTAAACTGAAACATAGGCCAAAGATACAAGAATGGGGAAAACTATAGTGACAGATTTTGTTGTGGTTTTGGAGTGAATTAGTCTGTTTTTGAAAAGTGTCGGGATAGCCTTTGTTTTAATTTTGTACTTGTCTTGTGCACACTAGGGACTTTTGCAAAATGTATTCCAATATGGTTTTACTGCAAATGGCAAATAAATGAATCTGAATCTGAATACTGCATGGAGAAATGATCATAAATGCTATGTGAGGAGCATAGAAAGAGGTTTTAAAAGTAGATATCTAGACTTAGGTTTTTGCATTGAGAGGTTTTGAAATAGAGGATGGGAGTTTTGGACCAAGCCTCTGAGACCTGCACCTGTGAACTCGCCCTGGACTCACAAGCTCCACCCCCCCACCCCCTCTCACTGTGGGCCTTACCAAGGTTTCTCTTACAATACAATACAATTTATTCTTGTATAGCCCTAGGTCACAACAGAAGTCATCTCAGAGACTTAACAAAACCATTGAAATCACCAACGCAGGTCAGAGAATCAACAGTTAAAACACATGAAGAATATAAAGCACACACAGAAGAAAATGTCCATACATGTTGTAGAATGCTAAAGTGTCCTGATCATCACCAATCCTTTCTGTTGGACACTAACTGTCCAACAAGACCCTCCTGCATCGACAAGGAAAAACTCTTAAAAAACCCAGTGGGAAAAAGTGAGAAACCTTGGGGAGAACTAGGGAAACCCACCGGGAGGGAGACCAATTTGAGAAAGGGATCCGCTCCTCCGGACGGACAGGCTAATGATCCAGGACCTAAGCTAGCTACAGAACGTGGACCAGCGGCCGCTGAACGTGGACAGGTCCGGTGCAGGACTGAAGCACTCCCAGGCGGGTCGGGCGGGGCAGTCCGGAGGTGTAGATGGAGGAGGCCAGGCTCAGAGGTCCTGTCATCGTACCATGAAACAGACAATGGGACAACGGGTGAATAGCAATGAATAAACTACAGTCAAAATCCTAAAAATGCTAAACAGATAAAGTAGGAAGGAGGAGAGGATAGTGCTCAAGTTACCATACTTCTCCCAGCAAACTGACTCCCTATGCAGCTTGACTGACAGTCTGAGGAGTTTAGCCTTCCCTGAGTCTTACCTTCCTAGCCATATGCTAAACTTAGTCTCCAGTGTTCAAGCCGCTCTATGCCGATGCAGCCGTAAAGACATTAATGATATAGGACGTTCATTGACATATTATCGCATTGCATTTACTAATACATTCCTGTGTTTTTGATTTTCTAATCTGTTGTTGGCAAATTGACGGTTTTGTAATGTAGTCCGAGATGACCTCTGTGTTGAATTAGGGCTGTACAAATTGAATTGAACCCCAATCCCAACACATTTCTCATTTACCACCTTTCTCCAGTCCAAGTCTATCTAAAGTCTATACCAGAGACTTTTGTTTTTTCTCTCTGTGGAAGCTCCTGATGCTCGGAACTTCAGAAGACCCTTTGAAACTCTCAGATGGAAGAGGAATCACACCGACTCTTAGAAGTTTAAAATAGTGTACAAAACAACTCTGAATCCTGGAGTTTTGCAGAAGTACTTATCGTGGTTTGTAGAAAGTGACAGAAGAGAATATTTTACGGAAAGCAGTCACTTTGGTCCGATTATCTCCATGGCATTCAACAGCGTTTACTATTGAGCCGAATCGTTAATGGATGCGTAACTGGAGATGCAATTTCACCTTGATTCAATGCTGGCTTTTGTTACTTGTGTTTAGACTCAAGTGGTATTGATGATGTAATTTCTAGTGCACGGTCTTTGTGATGGAAATGTTCTTTTCTAAGTAGGACCGAGCTACTTTTAGTGCCTGCTCGATTCATTGGAGATGCCATTTTCTTTATACTGTATGTGGCAATTCACATTCTATGTCTATGCACGCAAAACATACATTGATTACTCATTTTTCTTATTGTGAAAGTCTGAGAAAGGATCTGAGTTGAACTTGGGCCAACGTAAACCCGGAGTACTTCTCTTTGGAGAGATTGTGACAGATTTTTTAACACCTGTAGCTATGTGCGTCCTCTTCATTTGACCCATACTTACAATACGCAAGATTTTTTAATTGGGAAATAGTAAAATGGTCTAGTTTTTAAACAGATACAATCAAACTAAATGGCTTTGTCCCATTGGCAAATCTCGTTTTAAGACAGTCAGAATGTGCTAAATTAGAAATCGATTAAAGCATTTATTACTTCATTTCACTTTTAGCAGTGTGGGACCCAGCTCCACACGTTGATGCTCCGCTTGGCTAGATCTACATGTTTTTGTTGTTGTAGGAGAAACCGGAGAGCACCTAGATGAAACCCATGCTGAAATGGGAAGAAAATGCAAACTCCATTCGGAAGGAAGACCCTGTTCCAACCAGGATCCAATGTCATGGTGTGGATTTGTATGGTTTTATTTTGACTTCGGTTCTCT